GGTGTGAAGTACAGGGCCAGTTCACTCTGGCTAGAGATCATGCCTACTTGGAGGTGAAAAGAGTGCGAGTTCCTATATAATCAGGTTGCTTGCGCCAGTTAGTCGCATCGTCCCGGTTCTGCCTGGCAGTTTCTGCCGACCAATGTCGCGTTGCATCCTTGCCGTCTCCTCAAAGTGTGGTTGTACGTCTCAACTGGTATGTGTTTGGGCTGCGTTCGCACTTCAAGCACTTCTCCGGGACTCTGTCTGCATTGTGACCAGGTCGTGTGCTATCGCAACAAAACCTTTGAATTGCTTGGGTCTGTTTTAGTTGACAGAAATGTGTGATCATTCTTTCCCGAAAGCACCGTGAAGGGTTCTTTCCAAAAGAGCGGGTGCATTACATTGCGTTGCGCATACATTGCATCGTAACTCTATATATATATATGACAGTGCATCGACAAAGTGTTGCAACATTTGTATACCGTTGTAATTGCCTCGCGCTACATTTGCATAGTGCGGATCTTTATTCACCGACAGGGGTGGCGTGTGTCCGATGCAAGAAGCTGTGGTGAATCGGTGAAGTGTGAACGTGTGATCCTTTTACACGCACGTACCGGCTGCTGTACGTCCTTGTTCCTAGTAGTAAGGCCAGGAGCCTCTAGTAGCGTCCTTGCTCCTAGTAGCGATGCCAGGAGCCCCTAGTAGCGTCCTTGCTTCTCAGTGGGGAACAGGGAAGGGAAAGTACATTGGTAAAGTACGTCGAATCATCGCCCTCACATTGGGGAAGCTTAGCGTGAGGATCTGTGCACCGAATGTGTTCCAGCTTTGGAGAGTTGCCGGGTCACGTTTCACGACACCCTTTTTTAGGAGGCTTGACTTGCCGTGTCATTTTTGCTCCACTTACAGTAGTTTGTGCTAAACAAGAAGGTCTTTACCCTTGTCGCATTTTGACCTTAGGGAACAGTTTTGGCTTGTGCCCTTCTCGGTCGCCGACCTTTGTCAAAGTGAAAGCGTGATGGGATCGTTCGATTCCGTGTTTGCCACAACAACAAAGCTGATGAACATGCTAAACGTGCTAACAATGTTTTCTCGGACATGTTTCTCGCTGTAGCGTTAGGCTGTTCGGGAGTTAAAACGACTCATGAAGGTTCAGAAGTAGTTGATTGCTTATCACTTTCCTTAAAGGTCAGAGCTTTTCGGTCAGATGATCTCCTCGGGGTCGGAACTGTCAAGTTTGCACATGGGTGTATCATGCCTGTCTTGGAAGGTTTCCCAGTAGTGTTGCAGAAAACACTGTGGGACTGGCTTACACAGTTGGAGTGGTTCGCTGTTGTTGCATGCACTTAATTGTGTGAGTGTTGATAGTTTGAGTTGACCTTTTTTTTTCAGGCGGATACACAATGTTGATTTAGTTTGAAAGACAATGTCCGGTCGCTGTCGGCTTCATGCTAAAAGCTATTTTCCTACACTCGTGCTGCATCAAAGAACAGGTGAGATGTGTGTCCACGATTTTCCACGATTTTTCGCTGTTGGGAGTCCAACTTGAGGGTGCCCTTGGTTCCGTTGGGCGCCTTCCAGCATGCGTGCATGCGGCAGTCAAGTGTGTCCGCCAGCTGTTCAAGGCCGCCCACATATTGGGTTTGCCGTAACTAAAGATCTTCTGAATTAACTTTGTTTTGCGACTGCCTGCCAAGTACGCTTTCATGTCTTGCTTCTTACAGCGCGCTTTCGTGCCACGTTCGAGGGCTTGTACATTAGCGGTCAGGATCTCATCAGTCAGGTCTCGATCGTCGCTCGCCAGGTGAGTGCAAAGAGTGAATAAAGGTGCATTTTTGAGTTTTGACTCTATCGTGCTGTTGTATCATACCATGTCGTTATATATCAGTACGTTGACCTTGCACAGCAGTAATTGTATACATTGCGTTCTCGTACCGTTTTTATGTTTTGGGCGCAGTGCGAAGACAATGAAATGTTAGGTCGCATGCCGGGTAACAGTCAAACAACCAGCCACTGCTGCAGTGGAAACGCTTTGATTGGGCTTCGGATCTGGGGTCAGGCAGCATCTCAACCAGAGATTGAGCAGAAAAAATGCAGACCCAGCAGTACGAAGAACGGCTACTACAGCAGCTTAGCAGAGGATTGGTCAGTTCAACTCCTTGTTTCTCCGAATCGTCATCACTCAGCCGTTATGTTATCTATGAATCGAAGACTTCAAAACTTGTGGGTGTCCAGCAATCATGGGATTGAATCCAAACGCCTGTTGATCATGAATGCATCCTAACCAGTGAAACAGTTGTTGCATTCATTTGGGTTGGGGTTAGAGTCCCTGCAAAGAATTTTTCCAGCGACTCCTGCACTGTATAGAGCTATAGAGTAGAGATTGGTTGATTCAGGTGCTCGACGAGCTCTCCCGTTACTTTGGAGAGGAGCCGTTTGTTGGGGCAGACACCAACTCTTGGTATGTCGACTTCGTTTGATGGCTTAAGCGGTAGACACGACAAATTCCGACACCACGCAGAAAGATACCCACAACTGATACAAATCCTGCAAACATCAGAGAAAAGTACCACCGTCAAACAACGTTCACAAACACACACACACAGGATCACGAGCTTACCACAGACAGACTTGCACTTGCGTGAAGAAACCAGAACAGTTATTGTGGTCTTAGTTGATCTTAGTTGTACCAATATAATATTGTTTGTTTTCTTCCATTGCTTCAGCTTGCTGAGAAGAGACGGCAGAGAGCCTTTGACAACGGATTGGAAAGGTCCTCGCAGCTGGGGCACCTCGTTTCCATTCTGAGACCTAGGTCATAAGAAGATGACATCACAGCCGTTCTTTCTTTTGAATCGGAATGGTGGGCAAAAAACGGCCAACAAATTAATCTCTCCTCAAGCTGATCCTAACTCATTTGATATTTTTGTGTTTTTACTGCACAACTTTAGTCCTGTTGGCTTTTGCTCTTCCAAATTTTGGATTTTGTTCCTATCAATCCGACAATTTAGAGGTTTGTACATAATCTTTCATTTTTTGGTCTCAGCGTATTTCCAAATCGATACCTATTGCACCCCACTCTCCCAGGACCACTCGCGAGGGGCGCGTATGGCCTGTAGCCTCAGTTTTTGGACCCGGTCCGTTTTCTAGCTAAGCAGTTGTTGATCCAGCAAATGGAAGGACTCTGGGCAGCTGCTTACTTCAGTGAAGCATCACTGGGGCGGTGCAATCAAGATGTTAGCCTCATGAGAAGTCTTCCTCATTCAGACATTCATTACCTTAGCAAAAGCTTGGCATTTGTGCGCCATTTCGATAAGGTGCTGGCAAGTCATCTTGCGAGATTTGTTTCTGATTTCGTGGAGAAAGAGAATGCTGCAGAGGTGTGGTATCAGCTGTTAGATGGTAATGTCTTCTACCTGCAAGTTTGATAGAGACGATCGAGCCATGGGTCAATGGGTACCCTTGATGAACGACTATATATATATATATATAAATGTTTCCAAACTTGAGGCAAGTTTTCTTGCGTTTCTGCGCACCTATCACCTGGAATGGATTGCACTAACATGCACAAAGGTTTTTGATCACTGGACTCAGCATACTTTGATTGGCTTGTACAGGCATTTCTATTCAAGACACGACAGATATCAACCACTCAGCTGGGCAGTGAACATGAAGTCTTTGGATTGAGAACTTCAAGATTTAACTGTGACTTGCAGTTGGACATGGAGTTGCTTGACGTTGGTGGCATTCGCTGCCATTTTCGCCGTTCTCACTTAGGCATCCGGATGACCGCACTGCTCGCGAGAAAAGACATCTCGCATTTGCACTGCTTGCTTTTGCTGTGGCCACACCTGGTTTTCCCGTTTTTGCTTGTTGGATTAGATCAGGTTGTTGAGGGTCTGGCCAACCCACAGACCCACATTGGTAGCGGAGCTAGAGGGCGGTTAGTTGCTAACTAGGCTGCCTGCTGCACCCAGCCCGATTAGCTGACGCCATGTCGGGCACTTCTGATGTCAGCGCTGCTGCTGGGGCCACCAAAGAGACAGTTCAAAGGGCCCTCAGCTATGAGTGTCCCACTTGCCAAGAGACCCAGCCACCTGGAAGGTATTTGAAGGCTGCTCCTGGTGTGAGGACAACAATTTTTGGCAAAGAACTTCACTGCGACTTGAAATACCTCCACGACCACAAGAACACCTTGTTTGTGGCCCTTTCGATGGTTGACGGAGCAACCTCCTATCATCAGGCAGTACTCCTAAGGAATCGCTCTGCTGAACACGTGGCCAGAAAATGCCTGAGACACTGGATCTCTCTCCATGGAGCACCTCAAGTCCTGGTTTTGGACCAAGGAGGAGAATTCGATGGCCAGTTCGTTGCCTTTATGGAGCAGCACGGCATTTATAGCAAAACATCGGGAGCCAAGTCAGCCTGGCAGCATGGTTTTTCTGAAAGGCACGGCGCTCTTTTGGGGACTATGTTCACCTCCCTGGCATGGCAGTATAAGATTGAAGGTCGGGCACAAGTCAACAACATTCTCAGCGCCGCCGTTCAGGCCAAGAATTCGAGCATCATGAAGGGAGGGTACACCCCATATCAGTTGGCTTTCGGAAGACATCCAGTGTTCCCAGATCTTGTGGATGAAGACACTGAAGGAAATCTATCACTCCGTGAGGCCCTGTCTATGGAAGGCGAAGTCCAACGAGCCTCAGAGATGAGAGCAGCAGCCAGGGCTACCTTGTTAAGACATGATGTCCAGGCCAAACTACGAAGAGCTCTCCGTCGATGGCCAAAAGGTGGAGAAAGGGACTTCGAACCAGGAGAACTGGTCCACTTCTATGCCCCGAAGCCTTTGAGCACAAGATTCAAGAAGGAACCAGGCTTCTGGAGGGGACCAGGCATGATCCTAGTGAAGGAGGAAGGTGACCATCACCACCGTTTGGAGGAGGTTGAGGAGTTCAAGAACACCTGGAGAGGTGATGACAAGCAATATGAAGACATCTCAGGTTTGCCAGCACCCGATGAAGTGAAAGATGAAGAGGCAGAAGCAAGAGGCTGGGAGGCGCATGATGGCATCATAGTTCCCAGCACCGGGAGGAGGCCAAAGACGAGAGCCAAGGAGATAGCCCGAACCCTGAGAGGTATGAAGACCATCAAGACCATCCAGAAGATGAAAGGCCAAAAGAAAGATCGGCTTGATCTGAGTGGACATCAGAAAGAAAAGAAGATGGAAGAGAAGCAAGAAGTTGTTCCCATGGCTCTGGAAGTCCTACCAGAGACGGACCATGAGACTCAAATGAAGAAGGTGAGAGAAGAGCTAATGAAGGTGATTGGCACGCCACAGCAAGAAGGATACCAAGAAAGGTTGAAACAACACCTCTTAGACGACGTGCCAAGACAGTTCAAGAAGAGGGCTGCGGAAGAAGAAGTGGGACAGATGACAGAGGAGCAGCTGACCAAACGTTTCCGCCCAGCTTTCTTCTCCTACACCATGGCTGCCACAGTTGAAGGCGAAAGAAGAAAAAGGGCCAATGAATGGGCCTCAAAGGCTGAAGTAAAGAAGTTGAGTACCTTGCTGACCTCCCGGTGAAGAAGGCTCGTTTCCACTTTGGGGCCAGAAAGAGATTCCAGCCATACAAAGCTGGAGGAAGAAAGTCAAGACTCACGGTCATGCTGGGAGAAAAGGATGGCACCGCCCTTGTCACACAGGAGACGGCAGAAGAGATGAAACAAAGACCAGGAAGAAAATCACCGTTCCTGTGGAAGGGCCTCACTCTTTTCCTGGACAACCAGGAAAGGACATCTCACACCCACAACGTCTATGTGGAGATGCCTGATATAGCCCCCGCCGAGTGAAATTATTTTGAGGTGACCGTCTCGTCTCCAAATATTTTTTTGAAATAATATCAATAGAGTATTATTTGGAAAGGCATGTAGGTGGCGGGTCAAAATAGTATCTACCTTGTAGAAAAAATATGGTATGGCATGTTGCAAAATAAAAAAATATTATTTTGATATATAGTTTCCAAATAATTTTTAGCACTGAATGACATAGAATAACAATAACCCGTGGAAGAAGGTATTATGCAGGGTTTATTGGAAATTATTTGGCAGGTGGAGGGGTACGTGTGCCAGAGCAAAAATAATTTGGTGTGCTTGTCCACAGAGCTGAGACAATCAAGATATAAAATATAAACCACACAGCATGATAAGATAGGGGGGGGAGGTGGTATAGACCACCCACCTAAGTGGGCAGATATATGGGGACAGCTCCTAGGAAAGTGTTCAGTAACAGCAAACGTAGGTGGTGCAAGCGCAACCACCTACAAAAAATAATTGCGCCCTCTTTTCTGCCATTCTCTCTCGGTTTCTCTGTCAGACCCTGAACGTCTGACTCCCACATCAATCAGCTATGCTCTGCCACCAAGTCATCGTTTGTCGCGCTGCAATCAATTTGAACTAGCCAAGGCACACCCGATCCAAAACTCTGGTAGCCAAAGCAGCCGGCTTCACACTCTCATCAAATTCTCGCTGGGATCCATCCTATCAGGGGGCTACCTTTATCTGGGATCCATCCATTCGAACACAAACATAATATTATTTGGCAGGTGGGCTACCTGTCATCTACCCCCAAAATAAATAGTTACTCGTACTTGAATATGATTATTAATGATGTCTGTGGGGTAAGCCTTGCCCCCCTTACTGGTTCCTTCTACTAAACTCCTCAATGTTCTCAACATGTTCCATATTTTCCATGGAATAAGTGGCAAATACTGGCAACATTCCCCCC